ATGGTTACGATCGGCCCATAAGAAATTCTTACAGTCGTAACCACTATAGAGCAAAGAGACCCCCATTAGCAATTAATAGGGATTACTGCCAGCCCGTAAGCACCCATTACGGTTGTAAACCCTCCATATTCTTAAGGTGGATTTTCGCTTTTCTTTGTTGCATCCATTGAAATTCTTGCAGTTAAGCTTTGTCATTAAGGAACTTTACTGAAAAGTAGTGCCATTTAAAGCTTATAAATATGTTGTAATCATATAATAAAAGGCCAAGAAGCATTATTCTGGATTTTACTCAAAATTTCTAAGTTAGTATCTTAAGTTGTATGCTTTCTTGCTTTTTTCGTATTATTTAAGACTCCTTGGAGCAATTTAATTCAACTTTATTTTCTGCTTTAATTAGGTTTCATTACTTTTTACACTGTCATTATTACTCTTAGTATGTATGCCATATACGTTTTTGATGTGTTATCGATTGCCATGTCTTAATAGATAGATATAGTCTGAGACATGAGGACTATCATACCGATAGACCTCATACGAGTTTCTTAAGTATCGATTGTAACGAGAAAAAATTATGTTTTGCAAATTCTGTGTTTAAAGGTAAAAATGTTCGCTACAAAAGTGGAATCACAAAGATATCGTTTATGCACCAAAAGGGTATGAAGGATGTCCAATTTAGAAATTCGAACAGTTGAATCTGAAATTGCAAAAGTGTTTCAGTGTCAACTAAGTAAATCCTTTCTTTTAAGACGGTTCTAAGCACACAAATTAAGCTGCAAAAGTATAAGATTTGTGTTGTTAGAACCTGATAATGTGCCAACGAAAGTGGGAATTACCACTAGTTTTAGAATTTTCTACAAAATATAAATTCTCGTTATGATCATTACAGAACTTGCATGATTAAAGTTGGTTGATAGGAATCAAGTTCTCAGAATCTTGCTTTGAGTTATTAAGAAGTTCAAAATTATATTACTCTCATATTCAAAACCTAAAGAATTGATCATTTAAGTTAAACATTGAAACAGAAGAACTCAATAATTTATTTTTTGGTCTCTGTGGATGATAACTTTACTACTGTGATATTTTCGTGCGCTTCCGGCATATCAATTTTTGGCGCCCTTGCTAGGGATTAAATTTTCAAATATTGTTATTTCGTTGTTTCACCGTCTAGACTAAGACAAATCCCCTTTTTTTTTAAATTATTGTTCTCGGTTGTATGCGAAGAACTCATGGTTTAGGGGACCTCGTTGAAATGATAAACAAAATTGAGCGTTATTTTACTGCAAAACGCCGATTACACCAATTAGCGATGCAACCAAAAATAATATTATTTTGCGGAAAGATTACGATGTACTCTTAAATGAAAATCCACATTTATCATTCATCTTGCCATGGTGACAAACAATTTAGAATTGAAGCCCTCACTCTTGTCTATGGTACAACAGAACCAGATTTCTGGTTCACCGATGTAGGATCTAAATTTGCATATGTCAATATTTGTCAAACTTAGCGATACTCTAAAATACAATGGAATTTACCCAGTCATTATTCGACTTAGACTTTTCTCGTTTTCACTTAGGAAAAGAGCCAGAGCATGGTCGCATTTCCTTCCATCCAATTCCATAACGATATAAGATGAGCTTAAAAAGGTGTTTCTTCCTAGATATTTTTTGTCGAGCAAAACACTGCAACTAAGAAACCAAATTACCTAGTTTAGGCAGAATGGTGGACATTCACTCTACGAAGCATTAGAGTGATTCAAGTATATGGAAGTTCTAGCTTAAACCATATTGGGTAAGTAGGGATGGAAGTTATTTTCTAGACTTTTGATATTTCAAATGATATTTGAATTGTGAAATATGGTTATCTTTCTCTCCTTCTCTATTTCTCTCAATTGATATCATGGTCATAGTTCGGTTTGTTAGGGGAGGTGAAGGTGTTGCAAGATGTGGCGACTCACACTTGTGGAGGAGATTGTTGGTCCAAGTGAGAGTGGTTAAGTCCTACATCTCTTATGAATGAGTAAAATTTTGGATGAATATGAGAGATGACTAATTTACTTAGGGGTGCTCAAATAAACCGGTTATTTAAATAATCCATATCCATATCCAAATTCGATTATTAAAAACCGGTTAATTATTAGTATGGTTTTAACCAAATCCACATTTTGGATATATTTTTAATATGGTTTTAACCAAATCCATAATTTGGACATCCATATCCAAAATAAAAACCAAATTAGTCAATTTTTTTAATTAAAAAAAAATTGAAAATTTTTTCTTTTGAAAATAAAATTATTATTTTTGAATAAAATATTGTTTTAATTTCTTTTCAGTAAATAAATTTTTTTTCCAAAAAATTTTAAAAAATGATTTTATTTTTAATTTTAAAATAACTATTGTTTTTTTGAACATCAATATTTTTTTTAAAAAAAATATTATGATTTTGAAAAAATCAATTTTAAAATAAAATTAAATCAAAACTAATTATAAAATTGGTTATAGATATAACCGGTTTATAACCATTTTAAAATATAAAAACCAGTTATGAGAATTGGTTTTAATAACTGGTTATAACATATGGATTATTTATGGTTATGGATTGGTTATGGACATTAACCGTCCATGAGCATCGCTAAATTTACTTGATGCCTTAAGGTTTTTGGTAGATATGTGGTGTCTTCCTTTCTTTTGGTCCTGGAGCATTGGGATCGTTGGTACTTTCACTTTCCTGGTGTTGTAACCCAAAATTTTTCCTCTTATTTTTAACCCTAATTGGCTTACACTTCTCATTGATATGCATCCCTATTAGGTCATGACAATCATAATCATGCATTTCATTAAGCTTCTAAGGCAAAGGATCAAGGTATTCTGTACAAACTAAGGTTTCTCGATTCTTGTGAAACCCTCTTCCACATTCAGGAATGATTCAAGTTCCTTCTTCATCAGTCATGTTTGTAAACTAGGGCCTGGACTCTTGGTCAGGATGAACTTACTGTTCCTCAAGCTACAAGGTTCTCTTCTATCAAAACTCACAAAGAACAATTGGATTAGGGTTTTCTCTTATACGAACTATGCAATAAGAATTCATCAGATTTAGGTGATTTTATACCCTTCAATGTCACTTGCTTCAAGGTTCTCGATGTCACTAAGTGGTCAGGGTTTCATCAGGGGCCTAACTGAAAGGTTCTTCGAACTAGGGTTCTGTTTCTCACCAACCTATAAAATCATTGTTTAATCGGTACGCGCTTAAAGCATGAAGATTAGGGTTTTTCACTCTTTGTGTTTAAGATGGGCGTGTGTCGTTCAGATCAGGTTCACTTAGAGTTAGCAGGCTAAATGTGTGTGCAACATTGTTCAATTCAACTGGACGTGATCTTAATCTCGGTCAAGAAATAGAAGAGTGTTTCATTCTCGAGTTGGATTTGGCATGGATCAGTACTTTATGTCTGAAGATCGTCATATTAAGGTTTTAGTGCCAATTCAAGTTCGTCAAGTGGATTGAAGTTACAAAGCCATTCAAACTCAAGACAGTTGATACATCTCAGGTTATTTGTAAGTCCTGATTGTGTGGTTTAGGTTTTCGTCGTTGGTCTGAAGATTCGTCAGATGTGTCGTTCAATCAAGATAATTTCGAAATGAATTCAAATTTGTGATGTAATCCAGAATTTGTGGCGGTCAAGTGCAATTGTGACAAACCTGCATTAAAAAGGATTCAACATAAAATGGTACCAAAGAGTTTTGTGGTTTTCAAATAAATTAAGAGGGGCAACTGATCAAATTGAAGGGGGAGAACAAAAAAGAACATACCTGTTATGAAACTCTAAAAAACCTCACCCAACTTGCTTTCAACCATTCCGCATTACTCATAACGCAAAGCTCCTCTGAACATACTCCTCTCCGCCATTATTCCAATGCAGTGATACAACAACAGTTGAAATCTTTGTGCTTCATTCATAAGGTCTAACAATAACGTGCGACTTTGATTCTATAACATCAACAAGCATCTGTAGTAGTACCCATAAATGGAAAAACAAGTAACAATAGGATACAAGCATGTCCAATAGAAGGAGAAGAAGCAGAATCCATTAAAATTAAAGAGAAGAGACTCAGCAACATACCTTGAGGTCGCCGGAAAATTCGTTTTTCAGCGAACCTTTATTTCACTACTCTTTGATTTCCCGTCTGTAGTATGATGTTGTGCTTTCACTCTTTGTTATTCTCCATATTAATTGCTTGTGATCCGTTGTTGTTGTTGTTCGGTAGAATTTTTCTTTTAATGATAGAATCCACGGTTTTACGAGATTCCGTTCAAACCATCTCGTTCTTGGTCGTTTCCGTGTTGACCTTCAACTTGTTGTAGGGTTGATTCTTGAATTTCAGAATTTACTTGTGTTTGTTTGTGTTTAAGAATACGTAGAATGAGAGAGAGAGAGAGAGAGAGAGAGAGAGAGAGAGAGAGAGAGAGAGAGAGAGAGAGAGAGAGAGAGAGAGAGAGAGAGAGAGAGAGAGAGAGAGAGAGAGAGAGAGAGAGAGAGAGAGAGAGAGTTTTTACTTTGATATGGTTTTCCTTTTCTAGAATATTTCATTATATGTTGTTGTACCACTTCCCACAGCCCATATTGATAAAGTCATGTTATCTTTGTTTCTCTGACTAAGAAATTTGGATAGGCACCTAGGTTTTTCTTTGTCGCTCCGTGTTCTATTTATCGTTTTTTTTTCTATGTATTTCTAGGATTTATGAGTCATAAGACAATTTTCGAGTCATGACTTAGGGAATTTTGTTAGAATAGAAAGGAATAAGCCAATTAATTAAGTTAATGGATTTATTAGATATCAATGGACAAAAAAAGAATTTTTCTATTCGAACCCCAGTAGAAAAGAAGGGACAGTCTACGAGAAATCATATTTTATATAAAATGAAAAAAGCCTCGAAGGTTCCATCGCTGAAAATCCTAGGAGGTGTTCGGAAATGGTTTGAAGTAGTTGAATAGGAGGATTACTATGACTATAGCTCTTGGTAAATTTACCAAATATCAAAATGATTTATTTGATATTATGGATGACTGGTTACGGAGGGACCGTTTTGTTTTTGTGGGTTGGTCCGGTCTATTGCTCTTTCCTTGCGCCTATTTTGTCGTGGGGGGTTGGTTCACAGGTACCACCTTTGTAACTTCATGGTATACTCATGGATTGGCAAGTTCCTATTTTGAAGGTTGTAACTTCTTAACTGCAGCAGTCTCTACTCCTGCTAATAGTTTAGCACACTCTTTGTTGTTACTGTGGGGTCCTGAAGCACAGGGAGATTTGACCTGTTGGTGTCAATTAGGTGGTCTGTGGACTTTTGTTGCTCTTCACGGTGCTTTCGGATTAATAGGTTTTATGTTACGTCAATTTGAACTTGCTCGATCTGTTCAATTGCGGTCTTATAATGCAATCGCATTCTCCGGTCCAATTGTTGTTTTTGTTTCTGTATTCCTGATTTATCCACTGGGCCAGTCTGGTTGGTTCTTTGCGCCTAGTTTTGGTGTAGCAGCTATATTTCGATTCATTCTCTTTTTCCAAGGGTTTCATAATTGGACATTAAACCCATTTCATATGATGGGAGTTGCTGGTGTATTGGGCGCTGCCCTACTATGCGCTATTCATGGCGCTACCTAGAAAATACCTTATTTGAAGATGGTGATGGCGCAAATACATTCCGTGCTTTTAACCCAATCCAAGCAGAAGAAACTTATTCAATGGTTACTGCTAACCGCTTTTGGTCCCAAATCTTTGGGGTTGCTTTTTCCAATAAACGTTGGTTACATTTCTTTATGTTATTTGTACCAGTAACTGGTTTATGGATGAGTGCTCTTGGAGTAGTCGGTCTGGCCCTGAACCTACGTGTCTATGACTTTGTTTCTCAAGAAATCCGCGCAGCGGAAGATCCTGAATTTGAGACTTTCTACACCAAAAATATTCTCTTAAACGAAGGTATTCGTGCGTGGATGGCGGCTCAAGATCAGCCTCATGAAAACCTTATATTCCCTGAGGAGGTTCTACCACGTGGAAACGTTCTTTAATGGAACTTTACCTTTAACTGGTCGTGACCAAGAAACGACTGGTTTTGCTTGGTGGGCCGGGAATGCCTGACTTATCAATTTATCCGGTAAACTGCTGGGGGCCCATGTAGCCCATGCCGGATTAATAGTATTCTGGGCCGGAGCAATGAACCTATTTGAAGTTGCTCATTTCGTACCCGAGAAGCCCATGTATGAACAAGGCTTAATTTTACTTCCTCATCTAGCTACTCTAGGCTGGGGGGTAGGTCCTGGAGGGGAAGTTATCAACACCTTTCCATACTTTGTGTCTGGAGTACTTCACTTAATTTTCTCTGTAGTATTGGGCTTTGGTGGTATTTATCATGCACTTCTGGGACCTGAGACTCTTGAAGAATCTTTTCCATTCTTTGGTTATGTATGGAAAGATAGAAATAAAATGACTACTATTTTAGGTATTCACTTAATTTTGTTAGGTATAGGGGCTTTTCTTCTAATATTGAAGGCTTTTTATTTTGGGGGTATATATGATACCTGGGCTCCAAGAGGGGGAGATGTAAGAAAAATTACCAACTTAACCCTTAGTCCAAGCATTATATTTAGTTATTTACTAAAATCGCCTTTTAGGGGAGAAGGTTGGATTGTTAGTGTGGACGATTTGGAAGATATAATGGGGGACATGTATGGTTGGGTTCCATTTGTATACTTGGTGGAGTCTGGCATATCTTAACCAAACCCTTTGCATGGGCTCGGCGTGCACTAGTATGGTCTGGGGAAGCTTACTTATCTTATAGTTTAGGTGCTTTAGCCGTTTTTGGTTTTATAGCTTGTTGCTTTGTCTGGTTTAATAATACTGCTTATCCTAGTGAGTTTTATGGTCCCACTAGACTAGAAGCTTCTCAAGCTCAAGCATTTACTTTTCTAGTTAGAGACCAACATCTTGGAGCTAATGTAGGCTCTGCTCAAGGGCCTACTGATCTGCGGTCGCTCGCGGATCAAAAACGAGTGTTTTTATAAAAATGCAGTACAGCGACAGTAACTCAGAATATCGTATCGCAAGGATTCTTATAGTGATTAACCAATAACAGTAATGAAATAAGGGAGGGTTTGGTTTAGATTTATAAAATAAGAGAGAAAAAATAATTTAAAAAAAATAGTGATTATCAGATAAACTAAAACGGCTAATCCTACTGATTCGGGTCCGACTTATCATCGGCTATTATAACATCAATCCCTAAGCGGCTCCAATCCTATTCGATTATAATATTAATCAGACAAGCTCTTATCAACATCAAATGAATTATGTTCCTGTTTACCGAATTAAGCAAACGGTTAAGAATATGACGAGTTAACGAATTAAGCAAACGATAACACGCAATTAAATTTAGGAACATGCATACAATCGAATTTAATCAATTTTATCCTATGAACAGCAATCGAATTAAGCAAACAATTGCAATCAAATTAAGCAAATGACTTCATAGAAAAGGATTGAAAGAAATTGAATTTAAATTGGTATTATAATAACCTCAAAGTGATGAAACCGCACACAGCAGGATTTGCCCGTGGGAATTAGTTCTCCATAATTCGTACAAAGCTCCAACAATAATTTTTGTGAATAGTGAATAATATACTGTAAACGAGGTTTTTCCTCAAAATAAAACAATGGATTCAGTTCATAACCCAAATGGGTCAAAAACATAACCCAGACCCAAAACAAGATCAAAACTAAAATAGAATTCTAATGCTGTAACTTGAAACGAAATTCTGAAATTTTGAGCTCCGAATCTGACTTCGACTCCAACACGAAAGTCGTAGCTCTCTCTCTTAGCTTTCCGGCGATTTTTAGAACGCCTCAAACGGATTCCCGGAACTCCAGTTATGATCGTTTCCGTGCAGACTACTAAAGCTGAAAAATAGTTGCGATAATTAAATTAAACCAAAAATAAAATAAAATGTAAAAACATAATAAAACATAAAAATAATCAAAATAAAGTAAAGAAATGCCTAAGTAAAAATATAGGAGAATGTGCATAAATATGCACTGATCAAATTCCCCCACACTTGAACTTTTGCACTCCGAGCAAAATTAAAATAAAACACAACAAAGAAAGCACAAACACATCAACAGATACTCATTCCAGGCTGAAAGTCTTCTTCGGTTAAGTTTGCATCGATAGGTACTAATCTTACACACTAAGGATATCGTAGGAACACTAATCCACAATTGTGCAGACATAAACCTCCTGAATATACAAATCAACTCGAATCATGTTATTATGTTGAGGCCTAACTTGCTCTTCCTCCTTTTTGCTCTTTTTCATTCAGGCGCAATCACATTAAGCCCGTTATCTCCACACACTCATAGCAAGGCGACCGGTTAGTGACTCTGATCCTTTTTGTTTGGGGTTCTGGTACTTACGTGGCATAACCCTTTGTCGACTCAATTGTAGTTGCGGGGGATCGGACCGTAATCCACCCTACCAAGTTCAGCACCAGAAACCGCTGGACCAACTAACGAGTAATAAAAAATTTTCAACTTTTTCTTTTCTTTTATTTTTCTTTTTTTCTTCTTTTTATTTTTTTTCTTTTCAATTTGATCACTCACTTATATTCATCGGCTTCCCTGCGTAGAATGTGTATGAGATGGTGCTGACTGCTGAAATAAACTACTCAAGAGCTGTCAGAGAATGAAAATTCAAGGCTAAACCATAATAAGAATTCAAATCAATTTCCATATGCAAGAGACTTACGGTGTTAAGACGATACCGATCTTGTGAATTTTTTCCAAGTCTCCGCAAACTAATCTCAAATTAGTCTTTAGCCTAGAACTTTCAAAAAGATGCATTTTTTTTTTAATTTTTATTATTATAACTGAAAACAAAACAAAACAAAATATAAAGCAAAGGTTTCCCTCCCCCAGACTTAAAACAAGCATTGTCCTCAATGAAAGGACATAAATATACAATAAGAGTGAGGGAAAGGAAAGAACACACCCGACGAGTCAAGGTGGATAAGTGATCACATATGCATCCTTTCCCAAAGAGAGATTTCCTGCAGTCTCCTCTTCCAAAGTGGGGAGTAACTTTGGATAGCATCCATCGCTCTTGAAATTTGTATTAGTGCCTTCACCTTTTATTCCAGGATTAAATAAGAATCTTCGATAAATAAAAGTGTCGAATGCGTTCTCCGACCGGAGAAGTCATTTTTGGAGGAGAAACTATGCGTTTTTGGGATCTGCGTGCTCCCTGGTTAGAACCTCTAAGAGGTCCTAATGGTTTGGACTTGAGTAGACTGAAAAAAGATATACAGCCTTGGCAAGAACGTCGTTCCGCAGAATATATGACTCATGCTCCTTTAGGTTCTTTAAATTTCGTGGGTGGCGTAGCTACAGAAATTAATGCAGACAATTATGTCTCTCCTAGAAGTTGGTTAGCTACTTCTCATTTTGTTCTAGGATTCTTCCTATTCGTAGGTCATTTATGGCACGCGGGAAGAGCTCGCGCAGCTGCCGCAGGATTTGAAAAAGGAATTGATAGAGATTTGGAGCCTGTTCTTTCCATGACTCCTCTTAATTGAGACATGAAATCCAATGCTTGACGTAAGAATCACTTTGATTTTAGTATACATATTGAGTTGAGTCGAGGAGATCATATTTAAAAAATATTTTCTTTTTCAATTCATTTATATCTAATCTTTTTTCGGGCTCGGCTAAGTGGTGATATAGCCAACCCCGAAAAAACCGAGCCAACTTAAATCAATTTAAATCAATAAAAGAAAAAAATCCATTCGCCAAGAAAAAGGAGAGAGGGGGATTCGAACCCTCGATAGTTCTTTGTTTGGAACTATACCGGTTTTCAAGACCGGAGCTATCAACCACTCAGCCATCTCTCCAAAAGCTAATTTCTATTTTATCTTTATTCCACTCAAGAGAACATGACCATACAAATTAATACCCTTTTCTCTATGATAAAGATATCCGGTGTGAATCTATTGGTCTAGTTCTCTATCCATATATATTATATATTATATATTCATGATCCAGCATGCTCTTTTGTGAAGTAAAAAAAAAACTACCCCTCGATTCATGCCTCAATAAGGAGTGTCATCTAAAATCAATGGATTCATGATAAAACCCCCCATAATGAGAATGTGTTTTTTATTTATTTTTGGAAGGGGTCAAATCAAAAGAAAAGGGGTTGGGGGATCAAATGGTATAGTTCTTTTGTTGGTAAATTAGAGGATTATAAACATGACTATTGTGTTTCAATTAGCTATTTTTGCATTAATTGTTACTTCATCCATTTTATTAATTAGTGTACCTGTTGTATTTGCTTCTCCTGATGGTTGTTCAAGTAACAAAAATGTTGTCTTTTCCGCTACATCTTTATGGATTGGATTAGTATTTCTAGTGGGTATTCTGAATTCTCTCATCTCTTGAAACTATTCATTCTAGATCAAAAAACAAAATGACCCCTCCCCCCGAATTCTTTCGGGTTGTGAGGCACATGAAAATGGAATATATAAGACCCCACCAATAAAGAAAACGAAAACATTAATAATAGGAATTATTAATGGGAGGGGTCAAACTTCTTCTATTGGAAAAAGCTTATATCTTATACTTAATATGATATACATAGTAAAACGAAAAACTTGAAGATTAAAATATTCATATTATTTTCTGAATTTCATATTCTTTTCGGAATCAAAAATAAAATAGATATATAGATCATAGATAAATATCTATAATCTGCACAATTTGACATCAAAGTAACATGCTGGTGTCAGACAACTTCATCATTTTTTTATGCCAGTAGGTATTCCAAAGGTAGCCTTTCAAATTCCTGGCGAGGATGAAGCTACTTGGGTTGACTTATACCATCAACTTTTTTACGACAGAATCCTTTTTTTAGGGCAAGAGTTGAGAGTGAAATAGCAAATCAAGTTGCTGGTATGATGATATATCTCAGTTTAGATATAAATAAATACATAGAGAAAAGAGAAATAAATATAATAGAAAAAACAATCGATAAAAAAAATACATCAATTTTTTTAAATTTTTTTAAATAAAGGGGGATATATGAATCAAACGAAGAAAAATGACTTAGACATTTGGATTTTAGAATTGCGAGACATTTTTAGAGAGAGCAAGAATTCTTCCTATTTCTCAGATTCCTGGACACAATTCCATTCAGTCATATTTGTCATTCACATTTTTTCCATCAAGAGAGTTTTATCACACTCTTAGACTCTAGAATTTGGAGTATCCTAGTTTCACGCGGTTTAACAAGATATTTCACGATCAAGAATTTTGTCTTATTTCTACTAGCGATCCTTATATATCGTATTAACAATCAAAAGATGATCGGAAAAAAAAAATATTTATTTGACAGGGCTTCTTCCTATACAAATCAATTCCATTGGATCCGGGAATAATCCATTGGAAGACTCAAAAGATTCGTTCAATATCAATAGGTTGGTCATGACTAGGTTGATTGTTCCGCTCCTGTCTGGTCCAAAAGAAAAATATATATCTGAGAGAGATAATTGCTCTTTTTTCGGCGAAAAATGGTCAGAACTTCATCTGGATTTGAATCCTACTGAGAAGTCCGCTCAAGATATAAAATTATTTAAAAAATAAGAAGATGTTTCTTTTGTTCTTTCGAGGCAATCGGAAAATAAAGAAATAGCCAATATAGTTAAGATAATCATGTATTTACAAAATAATGTCTCAATTCATCCTATTTCATCCGATAGAGGATGTGATAGGGTTGCAAAGGAGAAACTTTTGACAATTCCAAATCATATTTCATTCTTGAACAAAAATCTAATTTTTGGTTTATTTGATCTATTCCATTACAAGAATAGGGGGTACTTGTTACATCGCGATTTTCAATCAGAAGAGAGATTTCAAGAAATGGCAAATCTATTCAATCTCTCAATAACTAAGCCGGATCTGGTGTATCATAATGGATTCTCTTTTTCTATTGATTTGTCGAAAATTGATGATAAACAATTTGTAAATCAAGTATTCAACTCCAGGGATGAATCAAAAAAGAAATCTTTATTGGTTCTGCCTCGGCTTTTTTACGAAGCGAATGAATCTTTTTATCCAAAGATCATAAAAAAATGGGTCCAGACCTCTTGTGGGAATTCTTTTCAAGGTGATCGATTCAATCGCAACTTAGAATATGTAATTAAAAGGTATGAAAATGATATTCATAATCATATACCTCTAAGGAAACACATGATCAATCAACATTTCTCAAATTGGAAAAAGAGTCAGAAGAAATGCTTTGATCCTCTTCTTTTTATTTATCGAACCGAGAGATCCGTGAATAAGGATCCAAATACAGATAAATACAAATGGTCTAAGGGGAGCAAGAATTTCTAGGAACATTTGGACCATTTCATTTCTGAGGAGAATAGCCGTTTTCAAGTAGTGTTCGATCGATTACATATGAATGCATATTTGATTGATTGGTCTGAGGTTATCGACAAAAAAAAATTTCTAAGTCACTTTGTTTGTTTTTGTCCAAGCTTCTTCCTTTTTTCTCTAACTCAGTTCCTTTTTTCTTGGTGAGTTTCGGGAGTATGCTCGTTCATAGGTCTCAAATCCATATGGATGAATTGAAACGTATGAATGATGCACTCGGGAATCAGTACTATTTCTTCCTCTGTTAGAGGTGTTCCAGAAATGTCCGCAATAGCTCTAGGACCGCGAGTTGGAAAATGAAAAGATTTGTACAAGTCATATCCGTCATCACCACTTTGCGGAAAATTATTTAATATGTTAGAGACCTCTAACTCGCTTGGTGAAATAGTATCTCTGTCCAAAAAAACATGTTTTTTTTTCCTGTCGCCAAAAGAAAATATTTTCTTTCGACTGAACAAGACATTGAGGAATTGTTCATACAAAAAATCATAATTACAGGACCTTTCCCCATACAAAGAGAATATTTTCTTACAATCGAAATCGGTTATTAGTTAATTCATGAAAATAATACATTGGTTTAGAAAAAATAACAATTACAGGATTTTGTATTTTTTTATTAAATAAGATTGTATTAGTTTTTTTTTTAAATTTTATTTTCTCATAGTTAAAATCATTAAAAAGTTGCATCAAGAGTTATGACATAAATTTGTTTTTTTACTCCAATGATTGTATTTTAGGTTTTTTTTTTAAATAGTTTTGACTTTATTGCAGTTTTGGTTCCTCTATTATTTATTTTTTTTTCGATTTTAAGCACTCCATTTTAAAATTTGAATTTGGTCTCTTTATTTTAGTTTTTTTTTTGAGGATTTTAGTCCCCTTCAAATCTGTGAGCATTTTTTAATGACTTGACTTTAATTTTGCTTACGTGTCAGTGCCAATTTACTATTTAAATATTTAAATATTCCAGCACATTTTATTATCAATTATTTATGTTATATCAAAATATTGAATTGATTTTAAAAAATTATTTATGTTATTTTTATTTTTAAAGTGTTCCGGTCTTAAATGCAAAATAAGAAAAATATTCCAAAAGAATCAACTGCAAAAGACTCATTCATTTTCAGATTCCCAAAACATGAACATACATTCATTTCCAGTTTCCCAAAACATGAACCTAAGTATTCAATCTTTCCCAAAATACTTGTCTGAAAATTTAATGTAGTGAACATTTAAGACGAATCTCTTCCTTAGTTCACAATGCGAGCGTGTTCAACCTAGGCAGGCCCAAAATCTGCATTCTCATTCATGTGCAACATTGTTCATTCGTCTTCAACTCGTAATAGCTCTCAATCTGAGTTCAAAATGTCAACCCCAACAATGTTTTCAGGTATGTGGTTTTGTCTTCATGTCTAAATGACACAGATTACATGTTACAAGTTGGCACAGATAACAGGTTACACCGTTTTTACAATCCAAATACAGCAGATTATAGCAGATTTCACACAATTTTTACAATCAAAATACAACATATTATGTTGCAGGTTGCACAAGTTGGCAATGGGTTGTGGAGACAAAAGAAAAACTTGATTTATTCATGAGTGAAGAATAAGAGAAATAAAGAAAAGGCAAGACAAAGAAGAAGAAATAAAATAGAGGGGGTACCGTTGTTACAACACGTGAAGAAGATGAGTAACTATGGAGAAAGGATTAGAGTTACCCTATTTTATTATGTTTTTTTAATCATTAATTATATCAATTTATTATTTAGAAATATTTTTAAAATACAAATAGTAAATTTTAAATAATAAAAAGAATATTTAAATATTTAAATGTTGTGTTGGCACTGACACATAAGCAAGATTAAAGCCAAATCATTAAAAAAATCTCACAAATTTGAAGGGGACTAAAATCCTTAAAAATCTAAAATAAAAGGACCAAAAAATTTGGATTTTAAAACGGGGCGACTACAATCGAAAAAAATAGATAATGGAGGGATCAAAACTGCAATTAAGCCATTAGTTTTAATTTTTTTTAAACTATTAATCTAAGAAATATAGCAAAAATAATAAATATAAAAAAAAAGTAAGATTTATTATTATTTATGTTAAATATACTTATTCAATATTAATTAATTAAAATATTT